TTAAGCCGACTGCTGTAGCCTATATCTAGCTTAGGTGTGTTCTAGCTCCCTTTATTTTTAATTTGTATATATACTGTTTGAATGACAGCTTGGTAAATCTGTCAGTGACCAAATATTCAATATCGCTACTCATCATAAGTACTTGGTACATTATCAGTGCAGCGGGAGACATTCAAACTAATATCACGTAATTCGCAATTACCCGATGATATTCGTCTCTATGATGATTGGTTGATATCAGAAGGAGGCTAGCATCCCCTACGAGGTTTCTTTTACCAACGAAGGCACCAGAGCTCAGCTCTCCCCCGGCCTCCCCCTCCCCTTCTCTATCACCTAGCGGTTGTAATTACATCAGCAGATTCGGCACATTCGCGATAGAAAAGCGGTGCTTTCACGTTATGGTATTACAATTGTGACATTTATGTTTAATCTATCTAATATTGTGTTGGTCATACTATACAATGATTTATAGCTTGTCTTTGTTGAATAATACAGAACATAAAGAGCTTTAAAAAATAATTGCATATTAAATCGCAATCGCAATATTGGTAAAAAAAAAAAAACGCAATTAGATTCTTTTCCAAAATCGTTCAGCCCTAGTTCAGTTTTTTTTTTAGATGTATTTTTGGTGTTTTTTGCCTTTATTTTAATAGGACAGTTGATCGACAGGAAGCAAAGTGGGAGAGAGAGAGTGGGGCAGGATTGGGAAAGATCCACAAGCCAGGATTCAAACTTGGGACGCCCGAAGTGCAATGGCGCTACATGTTAACACACTACCCACGAGACTATCGGCACTGTTCAGTTTTTGTGGTGTATTTCGCATTGTTGGCACTAGTTGGCCCATTGGCAGCTTTTTGGCCAATTGAAGCATTTGGTGTTGGGCATTCAGTGAGACAGATCACTCTGACTGGCTGTTCAGCTAAGCAAACAAGTGCACATCTTGAGCATTCCAATAAGTGTATACTTTCATAACAACATGGCTGTCTGGAATGAAGAAAGTGATGAAAAATATCCATATTCATAATCAGCTTTCGCTGCTTCTAATTCTTTGTTGTTGGTTAGGTGTGCCACGACTTCAAGCTGGCATAAAGCGCAAACTCTCATCATCTTTTCTTTCCAATTGTAACTATGTCTGAGTGAAACAACTTCTTGGACGAGAAAAAAAGTAGTGCAGGACTTTATTTAATCCAGTGGGAATTGACTGTATGGCTGTGGTTTGCTAATTGCACGCATGAGAAAAAATAGTGATGTGCATGGATGAGTCATTTATAATAAACACTGCAATATTCTGACTTCATGGTGTCTTTAAGGGCCAATATTCTCAAAATGGCCAAATATTGTCTTATCACTAATAACACCAAAAGAAAGGTTCTGTATTCAAGCTACAAATTCTGTACGCAGCCATAAAATTATGCATTCAAGCACATATAAGGTGAGGACACTCTTAAACAAGCAGTCTGAAGTAGTGGTCAACCGATATATCGGCCGATATTTGGCATTTTTCAAATATCCTTTTTAATTATATTTTTTATTAAATATTTGTTTATTTGTGAAAAATACTTTGTCATTTAAAGTTTAAGCATGTTTATTTCACACTTTTTTTATTATCTATTTTCAAATTATTTCAAATTTCTTAAATATTAAATAAAATAAATAAAATTATAACAGCTTTATATCGGCCACCCTGCTTTCCAAGATATCGGCATCGGTTGTCAAAAAAACAATATCGGTCGACCACTAGTCTGAAGTCAGAGTGTTTCAGTCAATCAGAAAGTTTTGAAGGAGCTGATGCAATTACACTACGATTGTGGCGGAAGTCAAAAAACGTGATTGTCAAAATTCCATCAAATTGGACAGATGCTGAAACGAGGATCAGTGGATGAAGAACTCAGTCAACAGACTACAGTTAAAGCTTCTCTTATCTTACTATATTTCCACCAAAGCTGTTTATCATTCACTTCCAGCAAACAACATCAGAGAGTTAACACTATTTTGGAGTTGACATGTCAGCAATAGAAATACAAAGCCGATAGAAGTTAAAAGACAGAAAACCATGTGCGAACAGCAGATATGGTACATTTACCAGAAAAGGTAAACTGTCAATTTTACAGCAATTCCACATTTAAAAGTGGCTATGCTAAGATATTCACTTGAGCAGCACTTTATTAAATGGAAAGCACGTATTGAGAGCTACCACTCTGCCAATACTGCACTTTACAATGACGTTAGTGCACTGCTCGTGTTTAACTGGTGCCAGCATAACATCCGCCACGTAAATCATTAACCTCCACAATCAAGGGCGCCATAAGAAAGCGAGTGGCCTAACAGTGTTGTAGTAAGACAAGAACAGAGGAGTTTATGACTCCTGGAAATTGGGTCATACTATGGCTCACTCACAGTGATGGGATGTGAGGTGGCACCTGCTAGTGACGGGTTGCACGAGGACAGTGGCGGTCTTTAGAGGAGCAGGCACGCTGGGGTGTAATCTCATTACTGACGTCAACCCAACACCCAGAACAGAGAATCCAGTCACTGTGAAGGCCAACCTTAATCAACAGGACCAGGAAGAGCCCAAAAAGGGGCATCCCACCTACTGAGGACTGTTTACATTTTAAACTGAACTCTACTAGAAAGCAACAGACTCTTAAAGAGAGAGGGGGTTCAATCTTCAACTGGCTGGCAGGAGCCGCCACTGACAGGTCATGTGACCTGCCAGTGGCTGGTGGCAGCTGCCAGTCTGATTCTGGCAGGTCACGTGACCTGCCAGTGGCTGGCTGGCAGCTTCAGGCAGCCGCTGTAGATCTGCGAGTAGAACGCCTACCCTATCACTCTCCCTGCAAGGAAATACACTATTTTATTATGAATATATTTTTATGACTCTGTTTTTTTGGATGATTGACCTTTTAGGTTTTTTTCCCCCAAAATCTGCCGAAAATTTATGGTTGCTGAAACTTGTTAAGGCATACATACTGCCAGCCAGCCAGCCAGTTGAAGATTGAACCCCTACTGCTTAAAGATCACAATGACTGAAAGAAAATCCTGTCAGACTGATTAATGAGCATCACCCTCATGCAAATGGTAATGGCAATAGCAACAGTTAATGCAGCATAAATGCAAGAACATCAACAGGAATCAACGTCCCCAGACTTTATAAAGGGAAACATTTACACTGCCCTTGAAAACAAAGTCCAACTTGTTTGACATTTATCAGCAATATCTGATTAACCCTATAAAGCCAACTGGGTCATACTTGATGAATTTCTAAGGTCTCTATATTATCAACTAGGGATGCACCAATCCGATACTCAGTATCGGCTCCGATACTGGCATTTTCTGTCAGATCGGGTATCGGTCGGACGAGATCGATCCAAATCCAATATTCTGCATATACTATTCGGTGTTATTGTTAAGCCCCACGAAAGGCACAAAAACATTATAAAGCACCATAAAGTTTTCGGCACTATATTCCAAGCGTTCTGAAGCCATTCCATAGTTTAATGTGAGGTACAGATGAGTATTTAAGTCATTAAATTCAAGTTCACGTTAACTCTTCTCGCCGCTGTGGCTGTCTGTCATCCTCCATTCAGCATTCAAACTGCGTGACGCGTTCAGTAACGACAGTCAAAACGATGAAACTCTCTTCAAGAGCGCACAGTAACTGAAATTTAAATCTGTTAAAAGAAAAGGCTCAATAAACTATCGCACAGATATAATATACTACGCATCAATATCTCTTCTCTTTGATGCGCATAAATGCTTTGTGCCACAGGTCACCACACTGAGGTATAGAAATTCTACATTGATTAAAAAAAAAACAGTGCTGGTATCTGATCGGTATCGGTATCGGCCGATACTCAGAATTTTTTGGTATCGGATCGGATGTGAAAAAAATGGTATCGGTGCATCCCTATACCAAGGGTATTGTTATCAACATGACCAAAACTTGTTGTACACAATCTACTACATGTCTTTCATTGTCTGATTAATAGTTAGTAAAAGGTAAAAGGCCTTTTAGTATAATTGTAATAAACATATAATTGTAAAAACAGGTTGTGTTTCACGTCTTTCTGCTGTGAATCCTTTAAGAATTTTTATGAAGTAAACATAAGAATAACCTATACTGACACAAATACATTTTAAGATGAACATTTACTGGACTGAAGCAATTTAGGTTTACTTGATTATCCGTATGTCATATTGACAGAAAAGTCATGGTAAAATGTATGTATCAAATGAGATACATCAGACATTTGAGGAACATTAATTTGTACATCTCTCAATCATCATTATTGCATTGCGTTATATGTTCTGCCTCAAAATTATGCCTCAGACTTTTAATAATAAAACTGCGCATTTACATATCTTATTAATACATATTTTTTGAAGATATAGCGTAACAACTGATATTTATATGCATTTTATGTGAGCAGTCATTACAAGAAGCCTACATTACAAGCTATCCGAATTTCATCTTACTTTTTGGCTACAAAAAAATTATATCGGCAGAAATCTGCATATGTATGCTCGGTTTAGGCCTAAAATTGAATAAAACTTATGCACCTTTTTTCCACTTTAAGGATGACCTCCATGCTCTCACTATATCATACTATGTGGGCCATGAAAGTATTAAATATGTATAAATTAAATATGATACAACACACGTAAGTTTCTGATTATATATCTATCTTTATCCGTCTAAAAAGTTAGAGCTGAATAGCAGCAACTTCAATAGCAGCATCTACTTTGCACCATTTCCCCTATACTATCCAGAAACATGTATAAATACATATTAAAGCTGGAACAACTACATGACAATAAGAATTGTCAAAACAACGAGGCCAGGAAACCCAAGAGCAAATGTCACGGCAGCAATTTTGACAATAGCCTGAAGTCAGCTAGGTGATTAAGGCAAATGTAATAACAGATAAACAGGTCTTAAAGGGACACGCACTGATTTATATTCCCTAATGCAGTCAGTACACTCAAATACATCAACTTACCCCATTCCAAAAAGTCCGTCACGTGTTTTTCTCGTTTTAAGGGCGAGTTGCTGCACTCGTTGTATAAACATATGAGGATATCCAGCAGAGTCTCCACACTCAATGACTTGTCGTTTTTCTGATGGCCATCCAGCAGCAACTGCTCCAACTTCTTCAGGCGCACCTTCGCAGACATTTTCTACCAATTTAGCGGCCTGGCTACCACTCCCAGAGCCAGAAAGGATAAAACAAATATTGTCGAAATTAATATAACGGGGATTAGCGCTATAAATATATACAAATAGTATTTATCTGGCTGATATGTGTGGAGCTCGAAAGTCCCAGACTCCAACTGCTAGCCAACCATCCAGCTAGCAAAATGTGCCCAACATTGTGCTCAGATAAATGAAGACCTAATGCGCCTAACCCCGTTGTTGTCCGCTGGTTTCCAGCGTCTCCACCCCCTCCTCACTCCCGAGGCCCTGGCGGCTCCATTTGCCTTAATCCGGACAAATCTGTACTTTCCACTTTGCGGGATGTGTCGGTCTTTTTCTCCCGTCGAATCTCAGGATGACTGGACGCTCATTCCGCTCAACTGGAAATCTTCAATTATAAACTCCCAAATGAAGAACTACACACGCCTTTAACCTACATAAATACGCCCTCCGACAACCGGGACTGGGTGCTTTTTCTAAATAGGCGAATTCTTGCGTGTATGCCTGCGCTGCCGGTGTGCTTCTCGGTGAAGCCGAATATGGCTGCATTCGCGTTCAGCTCGTCTCGCGCTCCCGAGTCCCGAGTCCCGAGTGAAGAATCCAGACCGGGATAGCGGAGCCCCGCCCACCCGCACCGGAAGCGCTAGGGATATATGACGCCATTGTTTGATTGACACCGGGAGGCAGCTAGCACTGACCTCATCAGGAGCCTCTCACTCACCAGACTGAAAAACTCAGTTAAGCAACAAAAACAAGAGATTACAAACTTTAGCAATTGCAGATGTAATTACTGTTTTATGTATTTTTTTGTATTGTAAGTACAATTGTAATTTTCTTCAATGCAATAATTGTTTTCAGATGATAATGTTAAATTTCATGGCAGGATACACAGACACACGTGTTTAATATAATATTAGTATTATTAATCATATTTAATGTAATATGGTTTATATTCTATAATATTTTAACATTGTTACATATTGAAATATTTAATATTTATAATATTTTGTTATATTTTATTGTTCCACAAATGTAACTGCTGTTCTCATGTAGCGTTCTTGTGTATTGTAATTGCAGTTAATTTAGTTAATTTAATAAACACTAGGCGTTTTCAAATTATAATAATGTTATATTATTAATATTAATAATGTTTAATATGATTAATATTATATATTATAATATTCCGTTGTATAGGCTATTAAAATATTTAATATGTAATTATATTTTCACAACTTTTTTTCATTGAACATGTTTGCAATATAATTTCATATATATATATATATATGCAGTTGTATGTTGATTATGAATATATTTATAATTTTAAAAAATTCTAAATAATTTCACAAATTTATAATTTCCACAAAGTCGTTTGCACTGCGCTCTTCCATCACTAATATTATGTTTTGGTGTGTCAATCTATTAAATTATTTAGCACATGAGACCATGATCCGCACTCACAAAAATAATCTTCATTTTAACGTTTATTTTACATTCATCACCAATGTCAAATTGACATTGGTGATGAATGTAAAATAAACTTTTATCATTTAACATATTTGCAATATGTGCTCATATCTGGATATACTACAGAGAATGCAAATAAAAGTGTCTCACCTGGATTTATAAATATATTCACAATAAGGTCTTTCTTAGAGATAGTTTCTAGATAAACTTCTGAAGCTCAAGTATGTATTTTTCACCCACAGTACAAGTTGCCGATGTACAGGTTACAATCCTTGAGAAAATGGCATTTTTTTCTGTGCTACTACAGTATATGTACTTTGCTATATGTTTTGTATTATAATGATAATCTGATATAATGATAATCTGAAGTGTGAAAATACCTTTTTAAATACATACTCAATGAAAAAAACGAATGTACTTACACACTCACACTTTATTTGTAAAGTATTTATTCAAATATTTTATCCAAATAGAATAACTTAAACATCAGTTTTATGGTGTCATCTCATAGAAATATATGCCAAATTCATCGTTCCAAAAACAAAGCACTCTAAAAGTCAACTGGGGTTAAATAATAGAAAAAGTGGTTGATTGGTTTATGCAAATAACACATTCATATATCCATTCAAACCCAGCTGCTGCAGATCCATCACATGTGAATGCTTTGAAAACATTGACCTCTGCTGGTGAGAATGAGTAGACATTTTATCATTCCCTGCAGTCTTTGCACCTCCTATTGAGCTTTTTTTTTTTCTCTGAGATGAATTGCAGACAGCTCTGGGAGACAGAATTGTGTTAGTAGCCGTTCAATATTTTATAAGCGGAGAGCTTCAAATCTCAGTGGGAGCTTGCAAGTGTCAGGACGGATTATTTTTACCGCCTCAACCATAATTTCTGCCTTTTAACTACATTTTGGTGCCCTGGGGTGTTTTTGGGGACACATGAGCTAGGAGAAAAGGATACCCTGTAGAGTTTATTTGAAGACTTTGCGTTTTCCCCTTTTCTGGTCCGCCGTTGTCCCAATCCGTTCTGACTGATGGAAGGTGGGGGGAACGGACGGACCCATTCACTGCTTCTTGAATGTCACGCTTTACCTTGCGTTCCTCTCCTCCAATCACATTCAAGCCTAACAGCTTCTGTTGCCAAGCCATAAGGATTCACAGAGGAAAGCCCTTCTAATATATAAAAGCATCAGACAGCCGAAGTAAGTTGCAGTTGTTTTTGTGTCACACTGAAACTCTGGATCTGTATGTCTGAGGGTTATATAAAAAGGCCTGTTCATGTTTAGAATATCACATTCAACTCTGTCATATTGCATTTGACATCCAAGTCATGCATACATTCTTTTTTTTATGTTTGATACATGCATTGTGCAGCAGAGGGAGCACCAGGCCTTCGCATCTGCTGCTGCACAAGCAATGTGATGGATTCATTCACTCATGTTGTGGGATTGCCCACCGCCTGCCTAGTCTATCTGGGAAGCATTAATGCACATAAAAGCTACAAACTGGCTTTTAAAATTATGAGCTGATTTAATGCTTTAGTGAAGATGTTTACCATCACCTTTTCCCTTAAACAGTGTCTTGCAAACACTGAATTTGTGAGCATGAGTGTGGATTCACTATAAAAGCATGATTATTGTTACAATCTTCCTTCCTTGACATGCCACGCATTCAACATACCATTCAAAATTTTTAAAGTATCTTATGCTCATCAATGCTGCATTTATTTTATCAAAAATACTGTAAAAATAATATTGTGAATTATTCTTACAATTTAAAATAACTGTTTTCTATTTCAATATATTTGAATTGTAATTTATTCCTGTGATGCAAAGCTGAATGAACACATTTCAGTGTCACATGATCCCTCAGAAATCATTCTAATATGCTAATTTGCACCTCAAGAGACTAAAATGTATTTGTATTACTATAAATGTTTAAATCAGTTGTGCTGCTTAATATTTTGTGTATAAACTTTCAGGATTCTTTGATGAATAGAAAAGTAAAAACAACAGTATTAATTAAAATTAAAATAGAATTTTTTTTGTAACATTACAATGCATCCTTGCTCAAAAAAATTTTTTTAAACAATAGTGGAGGTATATATCATGAATATGTGTGTCCACTGGAAAACAAACCCATGATCTTGGCACAATGTTCTATCTGTTAATCTACAGGACATCCAATATGATTCCTTTAGAGATGTCTTTCAGAGTCCTTGTTACTATTTTTTCTAATCATATGTCTTCGGTGTAATTTTACAATGTAATATTAAATTAAACGGTAGTATATAAAGATGTTATTTTACTATAATATGTTTTATTAATATTTTTATTATTATTATATAATGTAATATTTGAATATTCAGTTACACACTGTCATATTTAATTTGCCCACAACTTCAAATTTCAGCATCCAAAAATAATGACTATACTTTGGTTAATCACAATTAGTCTTTCTGGGATAGTTTCGGGATAGTTGGGTTCTGTCTAAACTTGTGACAAACAAGTTCAGGTATGTTTTTCACCAACAATTGCTTTTTAAACAGTACTGAAGGAATTTACATGTAAGCTGTAACCTGAAGCTCCTGTTGACTTCATTATCCAGTTCAACTCATTCTTTTCAAAAAGGTTTTAGATTTATAATGAAATTCATATGGCACAATTTATCTATATAAATTTAAGCTTGAGCTTAAAAGCTTAAAATTAGTTTCTAGTCTTTAGATCAAAAGAATATTAACACCACACAAAATACAGTAAAATGCTTTCAGATGTTTGACTGGTATAATGTATGTAGTGCTATATGAAGATGATATAGAGTGAATAATTATTCCAATTTTATAACTTGTTGAAAAGCCACTCAGCACACTATCAGTAAGATTTGTATTCATACTTCAATCAAACTTAACATTGCGGCCTGATGTTAGAGATTCCTCTTCAGCCAGAGGGCATCAGGATATTGAAAGAAATTTCAGTTAATTACTTATTTTCCTCAGAGAAGCTTTCAATCTGAGACTTCCACAAAAGCTGAGGGAGAGTAGGCAGATGCATGAAGTGCTAATTGGTTGAATGAATAGAGAATGTCAGAAAACAGGCCTGAAGTGAATTTATATGAGATGGCAAAATTACTGAAAGGTCAGTCTATTACACTCCTCCACACATGCAGAGTTCAGAGCTCTTCATTCAAAGAGATACAGCAGTCGTATAAAGTGAGGAGTGAAGAGGTAAGAAGAGGAGAGGAGGAGCTCTACATTTCAATTACTCTGCTAGTCGGCAAAGTCTGCAAGTCGGTTTCTCGGTCCTGAGCCTGAACCTCTTGAACTCTCTGTGGAAATTGCATTTCAGTTTGCGTTTGATGTGAGACTAAAGAAACTGGTCTGGTCTTTTTAATGAGAAATGAATGTCCGCACATAGTGGCACAAGTATCTGAATACTTAAAACTGTAGGAATGTCTTGCGTTTTGTATAACAAAATATCAAACAAGTGCCATTTATTTTAGAGAGATAAAGCACAAGCACAATTTTGAAGCAAAAAGCAAATCTTGTCAAATCTTAGGTAAACATTTGTTCGTTGTTAATCAGTATTAATGAAATAATTCACCCAAAAATGAAGATTTGCTGAAAATATACTCACACTCAGGCCAAGATGAGTTTGTTTCTTCATCAGAACAGATTTGGAGAATTTTAGCATTACATCACTTGCTCACCAATGGATCCTCTGCAGTGAATGGGTGCCGTCAGAATTAGAGTTCAAACAGCTGCACACAATAATCCACAAGTAATCCACAGGACTCCAGACCATCAATTAACATGTTATGAAGTGAAAAGCTGTATGATTGTAAGAAACAAGGTGTTTTAAGTTGAAACTACAATACAAGTGCTCTATCTATAATATTGCTTTCTTAGAGGTGACGGTTTAAAGTCAAAATGCCTTAAAGGGTTAGTTCACCAAAAATGAAAATTCGGTCATTAATTACTCACCCTCATGTCGTTCCAAACCCGTAAGACCTCCGTTCATCTTCGGAACACAAATTAAGATATTTTTGATGCATTCTGACAGCTCTCTGACCCTCCCATAGACAGCAAGGGTACTACCACGATCAACGTCCAGAAACGTAGCAAGGAGATCGGTAAAATAATCCATGTGACATCAGCGGTTCAAC